ACACACACACACACACACACACACACACACACACACACACACACACCACTGGGGAAGTGCTTTAAAAATTTACAATGATTTTTATGTATTTTATTTCATCAGGTGCCCACAACTAAATAAATTAAACATCTCTACTCTTTTACTATGTTTGCAATCATTAGAGTAAGAGAATATGGACAACATCTTTAGTAAATATATGTGAGTACCTTCAGAAGCACAAATTCCCATGGAAATAGGACAGGGACAGATCCAGTAAACACATTAAAATAAATACACTTGCCCTAGTCAATGTTCAGTGGGTGGATTTTTGCAAAATAATTTAAACGTCAATGTGCCCATTTCTAGGCAAAAGTAGATGGAGTATAGGCATTTAAAGAACATTGACAGAGCTACAAACAGGATGATACGTTTGGATAGCACGCTGAAAACCAGTATTTATGATTTTATTTAGCAAGACATATATACACATATATACATATGTACATATATATTGTATTAGCAATATTTATATAACACATAAATATTAGCAAGCCAATATTTACATAAAGTATAAATATTTTCCTGACTGGACTACTGTTTCACTAACTAGATGCTTCATTCTCAGCTGTGCCTCACTGAATCCTGCCTACTTTGGATGCCACCCTCCTCCTCTTTGAAGCTTTTCTTGCTCTCTCATCCAGATGTTAGTACTTCCTCTTTGTCCTCTGCTTAGCTGTGTAAATGCTGTATTCTTGCGGTAAAACGTAAGCGCCATGAAGGCAGGAACACTATGTCATTTTTAGCTTTACATCACCAATACCTAGCATGAAGTCGTAACAAAAATCTACTGTTAAACTGAATTGTCATTACAGGAGGCACCTTCTCATGAAGAAATAATTGAAGAAGGTGGAAGCCTGGTAAAGGTGGCATACTACTCAACAGCTTCATGAATAAGCAAGTGTGACTCTCTTGGAAGAGAAGGGAGAACAATGCATTACACTTTCAGAACTGGGCCATGAATCAGTTCTCCTGCCTGCTGATTTATTTTGGGCCCTCAGCACAGGCAACAGCTTTTCTTTTTTGGCTTAGCTAGTTCATTTTCCTTCTATCATTAGGGCCTAAAACTGGATTTAAGCTGTATTGACTAAGTTAAGGAGTGGAGAAAAGTTGGCACTGTTGGGACCATACTGATCATCTTTCTTTGCAGGAGAGAGAGCTCTATCATCCTCTTCAAAGCTAAAAACTGAGGAATTAAAAATTCATTCTTTTAAGTAGGAAAAATTTGGCTCAGGCTCATTCAACTAAGCCATTTT